TGTTAATGTGAGCCATTGATCTCCATTTCTGTGATAAAAAATATAATTGCCAGTACCATTAATCTTGCTCATACCACAGTTTAGGTCGCATATAGAATCACTGACCTGAATAATTTCTGGAATGATTATTTAGTCTAATCTTATAATACAAATATTGATTGGCTGTATCAGCAATAATACTGACTCTGCAATAACTGGTGGTTTACTGCATGGAAAGGGTGTGGGGAGGGGGTAATAATCAAAATGTTTGATTCCCACAGATTTATTGAATTCCAGGATCCTTGTCAAAATCTGCTGTTGAATCTGAACTTGATGGATCCTTTGCAGAATTACAGAAAGCTTTCTTCCAATTAGAGGAGGAAGATGCATCTTTGATTTCCAGGGTATGATTTTATGCATAAAATACTGTAAAAGCGTATGACGTATATGAATTTGTATATAATATTGGAAGCTTGCTGATAAAGAATTGGAAGCATTTCCAAAGAAAGTTATGAAATTCAGCTTTCTGATGTTGGCAGTTTTTGACTGTCTGCATTTATTTTTCCCCTCTCTTTTTGTTTTTCTGTCCTCTTCTTCCTTTCAGTTCTGTGAACCACCCCCTTTTCTAACTCTTCTTTGGCTTTCTTTAAGTAGGCCTGTTGGGTTCTTATCAAAATAGCTCAGTTTTGTCAATACCATCCAGAGATGTTGATTGGAGCAGGTCAATTTTCATTAATCTGAAGAACCTGGACTGTATCATTCTCTTCCCCAGTGAGATTTATGACAAATCAGAGATACTGCATCGTTCCATTGATTTATTAGAACATGTGAACACAAGGAAGATCAGAACTGATTCTTATTTTTGTTTAATAGCTTCACTCATTGCATTTGGCCATTATGTGTTTAACTGTGGTTTGTTAAATAAGGCACAGTGGCTAGCTTCTCACACTACACTAAGTGATAAACCATGGATTGCAAATTGTGGGGGCTGACTTTAAGGCCAAAACCAAACAAATCCCATTATGGCTTAAGTGCAGTGCTTAACTCAATCATTACAGCTTAGCCATAATGACACCTTTCATATTGATGACAGTTCTCTTTAGCACAGCCCTAGGAAAAACAGAAAGGTTTCTTTTGTCTGATGCTTCGAAACACAGAACTTAACAAATCTTGTGCCAGTCCTGAACCACAGGAGCTAGCTAGCTGTGTAATCATGTAGTCTTGCACTGAGAAGGTTTTAATGAGAAATTCCCTCATTAAGTCAATGAAGCCAGATCTCTAAAGACAAAAAGAAATGTACTGGGAAAGAAGAAATCTAAGAGGGGAAGCAAGAACCAAACAGGCAGTTCCAAATACAATCAATGCAATCAATTTAGCTAAAGTAATTAACTACTACTTGTTTGCCTAATATCTTGGGTTTCAGCATATGATCAAAGTTGATTTCAGAGAGTATAGTTGGAAAGAGATCAACTGGATCTCCTGCATGTATGTTAATAGGTGGTCACCTCCCCGCTTCCTCCTCTGTCCATTTTTTCTTCTAAGCACTAAGCTTAGCTTATAGAATATTTGGGCTAAATGAAAGCAAGCTTCTTTGGAGAGATTCTTGCTTTGGCCATGGGCAGTGCGCCATCTAACATAACCCAGGTATATCCAGTGTATCAGAATTTATCTAATTGCTAAAACTGTCTAATTATAAAAGCGCAGTCTGGTTTTCAGCAGTTGGGCTGTTGTATAGATGGATTTATAAAGAGGGACTTACATGGAGGGGGTGGGAGGATGGAAATAAAGTCCATTTTTTTCAGGTCTCTCAACATGGGATCAGTTTACCAGATGCTTTGGGGATACTGTTGTGTTCTCCCATAACTAAGGATCTGTCACACAGAGTGATATTTTAAAAGTTAGATGCTGAGAATGCCCAGATATGAAGACAAAAAAGTAGTCCACAATTTTAATTCAGAGCCAGTTTATGAGAATCACAGATTGCCACTTGCTTTGAAGTTCTCTTAATTAGCCTTGACAAATCCTAATCTGCTCATCTAGATTATTTTATGTAGGGTTCTTGTGCAGATAAAATGTATGATGTGAATCAGATAATTTTTAAAATAAATGTCGATTTTTGTGCTTCTCATGTTAGAAACATGAAGGAGATCCAGTTCTCCTAGAGCTGTTCATCAGAGCCTTTCATATCCTGACTCACTCACTGAATTGACATTTGTAGTCTCAGGCACTCCTTCGGTGGCATGATAATAACCAATATTGTGGCAAAACTGGAGAGCCCACAGTGAAGAACTTGGCTGGGAGCAAACGAATCTGTCATAAAAATGGAATCATCTATTATCCACAGGTAGGCATCTGAATGGAAAATGAGGTTCTAGAGCCATAAAGACAGCTAGCTAGACTTGTTCACACTGGCAAAAGCTTTCTGTAAAATATACTTTTTACGCTAATTGTGAGTTATCTTTAGGATGATTCTTGCGGAATAGGAGAGAATTCTTCTTTTCATTAAGTTAAGGGTACTTCCATATCACCACTGACTATATCCCCAATCTGTCTAAAGCTGTTTGAAGCCAACGTGTCACTTCTGCTGATTTCTAAACACTGAGAACATGGAGAGAATTCCACGAGCCAATCAGTGCTCCTACCGGTGAGCAGACAACAGCATGAAGTTGATCCCTGCCACAAGCTCTCGGTGGTGCCAGTATAATAAAAATCCTCTCACCCACTCCATCCAAAATGAAAAGGAAATAAATGGTTAGCTATCCTCCCTCACCATTCATATTCTTAATTCATATTCTCTGCATTTGTTTGTTTATAAGCAAAAACACACACACACACACAAAACCCACACACGCAAGCAGTTGATAAGAGGGGGAGCTGCCAAGTTGCCAAGCTGCCTTTCTGCCAGTGCATTTAATTGTCCCTGTGAGCTGTGATGATGGAAGAATAGCATGTTGTGATTTCTGCAACCTTGTGTCTTTCCCAATAGCTGTAAACCTGCTTGCACGTTGCTGTGGTCTTTGGAATGCAGGAGGGTCAATATGTGTTTTAGATGACTAGGACACCAAAATGTGCATCAGTGGGACAGTTGCCTGGAAGCCAGGAGTCTGGTGGCATACTGAGGCAAAGGTTCCCAACAGTGGGAAAATCCTCTCCCTACAGGTTCTACAGAGCAGCAGCTTTGCAAAGTACAGTAGTTTGGTTTCCGCAGCTTCTGCTTGTCGTCTATGCGAAAGAAGAAGGAAAACAAGGCCAACCCAAAGATAAATTCTAAAATAGTTCAGTAATACTCTTTAGGCAGATAGGCTCATGCTGCGAAACTTGAAGAAGCAAACTCAAGGTGTTGTTCCCAATATGTATGAAAAATGTGAGGTTTTGGCCAGTTAAAATCAAACTCTTTTCTTATTAGAGCTGGTCGGAAGAGAGAAGTTCTTGGCAGAAAGGCTTTGAATGCTTCAGCTGCCTAGACTAGGGTATTTCTGGGGATTCAGTCTCTTACGGAAAGTTGGCTTTTGCCATAATTGGAAAAACAGATTTTATTGATATATTTATTTGTGCCGTTGATAGGCCGCCCAGTTCCAGCAAGGCTCTGAGTGGCCTACAGTAATGCAGAGTAAAATAGAAAGGAATTAATAGAAGAAAAAAGATAACCAGAAGCCCGGTCTCCTAACCGTTGACACATCGAGGGAGATGTTCCAAACGGCAAATGTTGCCTGTTGCAAAGAGGAAACTCACCAATCCCCATCAAACCCCAAGGCTTTGTAGAATAGCCTGGCCTTGTTGGCAGGGTTGGCGCTGGCTGAGAAGGCATATTGGAAGGGTTTGTGAGAAGATGTATTTTTGCTATTGGGACAAAGAAGGCTACTACGTACACATCCGTGCGTGTATTGGCACAAGGGAAAAGGCACCAGATAGCTCGATTTAATTCCTGAATTATGATGCAGGCTCTGAGCAGGACTTGTGTCCCCATGGATGGGTTTGGAAAAACATGTAATGAGATATAGTTGTAAGTGCACAGTTATCTCATCTACTCTGATCAGTCTTTTTAAATTTTTTTGCTTTGGCTAGCAAAAACTTTAAGGTTGATCCTGACAGCAGGATGATGTGTTCTGGCTATTGTTATTTTGCTCCAGGATCTGCCTTTATGTGGATGCTGTTCTAGAAATCACTCTTGCTGGTCTGATATTCCACACTTGTGTTATTTTGGTCTGAATTGCAACGTTTTGCTTTATATGGTAGCTGGCTGATACGGTCAATGTCTTGATGTGTTTTGTGCCTTTTTTAGATGTCTCCAGTGATTATTACACTGGTATCTGATGGGAGTCGATGTCTTCTCATACGGCAAACGTCATTTCCTAAAGGGATGTACAGTGCTTTGGCCGGCTTCTGTGATATGGGTAAGGCAGCACGTCTACGGTATTTTAATGATAGGCTACGGTGTAGCTTCAGAGCTGGTAACCCACTCAGAGCAGGGATGATATATGATAAGTTTGGGGAGTCTTAATGAATTTATTTATTTATTTGTTTATATTTCAAATTTAGACACCGCCCATCTCACGAGGAAGTGACTCTGGGTGGTTTACAATAAGAACCACAAATAAATATTAGTTAAAATACAATAAAAATAGTATGAAAAAACAATAAAACCAAATACATACATAAATAATATCTTCCAAGGTGCTGGTGATCGAAAAGATATTAAAGTATGGGAGCATCTTCAAGGTGCTAGCCACCCCACTTTTCTCGTCCTATGCGAGTAATCATAATTATTAATATTAATTACAACAATTATTGTAATTAAATATATTTAATATTTAATATATTGATATTAAATATTGATATTAATAGTTAATTATTAATTAAATGTTAAATATTAATATTAATTAGTGGTTAATATTAATAATATTATTAATATTAATTAATAATTACATAATTACATAATAATTACTAATTGTGTAATTGCCATAATGTTCAAACTTGGCCAAGCAAGTTAATGGATACTTGGGGTTTGTTCTGAAATGAATCTAAGAAAGGGGAAAAAATTAAGTCAGCTCTTGAAGTACCTTGATAGATTTGGAACTTAAGAAAATCAGAAACTTAGCCTTCTTCAACCTGATGCCGTCAGATTTGTAAGACTTGCCACTCTCAGTTTTAACACACGTTGAGACCAAATTGGCTAGGAATTCTGAGAGTTCAGTCTCAACATCTGGAATGTGTCAGTCTTAATATATCTTCAGGGCACTAGATTAGGGGAATATGTTTCGTTTTAGCTATTGTTTTTTAATATAAAATCATTCAGCCTAGGAAGTAGGCATGATGTGGGTTGTTTGCTCTTGGCTTAGTATGTTTTATCTGCCCAGTATTTATGATTTGTAAACCATGATTTCTGGTATGGCATGTTGTATGAACCCAACTTTTTTGATGGTCCAAAACATTAGAATTATTCTCCAGAAAATAACCAGCCAGTGGAGTGACTGTCATTCTGTATGGATTTAAAGGTATTGTTATCTAAATTCTCAGCTCTTTAACATAGCCTGCATTTATCCAACATGTTTAACTTGGTTACTGAATTAATTTATTTTCTGACTTTACTTAACATATTGACTCATAAACTAACCAAATACAGTGAATTTGCTCAAGTAAAAATTTAACCATTATCTAACCCTGATCAATTTAGTATACTGTGTGATAGTGCCCGCCAGATCTTTACCTGACCTGTTTAAGTTTATGAGCACTAGAGATATATGTTTGGTCAATTGAACAAATCTTTTTTGTGACTCAAATCAAGCATCTTTATAGCTTTTTCTGTTAGAACAACAAATAAGGCAAAAATCAACAGGTTTTACATTAATTATAAAAACAGGCAGTTTTTTTTAAAAAATGCTGGCTTTTAAATCATGAATGTAACTGGCAGTGTTATTAAATAAATTTCTGAAAATTTATTTATTTAAAACATTTGTATAGCTACCCCTCTTAAAACAACTCTGGGTGGCTTACATGTGAGCGATTCATTAAACATTTCTAGTTGGCTTTTCTGCTGACATACAAGAACTAGCCTAAGTGGCATTAAAAAAAGAAAGGAAAATGAAATACATTTTCTGAAATAAAGCGAAGTAATGGCCACTTACAAAAATCAGTATTTAAAAGGTAATTGGGCCAAGGTGGTAGCAGACTTCAAGCATCATCATGATCATGGTTGCATGGAATGTTGATAACTGTTGGCGTATTGGCAATACTTCATTGGTGAAAAGAATGGCATGTCAACTTTACTTTCAGTATATTATATTCCATTAAAAAAAACAAACCCTGATACTCTCATACTTTCATATGTGAGGAAGAGATTTTATATTTATGCTATCAAAGCTAAAGAAAGATACAAAGGTACTGGGTATAAAGATGTCCTTCATTATGTTTTCTGCTCCCAGGTGAGAGTTTAGAAGAGACAGTCCAACGGGAGGTTGCTGAAGAAGTAGGCTTAGAGGTGAAATCTCTCTGGTATTCTGCATCTCAGCACTGGCCATTCCCAAACAGCATGCTCATGATAGCTTGTCATGCATTAGTGCATCCCCTACAGAACAAAGTAAGAATGCTGGTAGAATCCTAGTTTGGTTTGATGTTATGCTGGTTTAGGAATAAGAAACTAACCTTTCTCGAATTCAGCTTTCCCTGACTTGATGCCTTTCAGATATGTTGGACTACTACTCCAAGAACTTTCTGGAACTTCTGAATATTATAATTCTATACATTTTGAGGCCACTGAGTTCCAAAATAATTGACAAATAATCCTTATTCACCTTGGTTCTTTGATGTTTTATAAAATTGCTGAAAAACAATTCTGGATCATGTCCTTCCCCAACTTTTCTATCCATGCTGCCTGGTGAGCATATTATTGTAATAGTCATGGATAGCTGTTAGATTATATTATGGAACTTTTTGCTCGAAGAGAACACTTAATGTATGTATCTTACCTTGTAGCCTCTGCAGTATTTCTCTAAGGCAGGTTATAGGCTGTTCTTGCGCAGCATGTGGGGAAGGAGATGGGTGCAGTAAAGTCTTGCCTTGTGCTGAACTTGTGATGAAGATGAGATTTGAACTGAGACAGTGTTGTGTTGCTCCTCAATATTAGTTGTAGCTATAACTAATGCAGTAATACACTTTCAGTAGAACACAACTGTTTCTATTTTGCTTTGATTTTCAATTATTTCATTTGCAGTGTACAATCAATACTCAGGAACTTGAATCTGCCAGGTGGTTCAGCCATGAGGAAGTGGTGAAGGCACTTGAACGGGAACCAAGGCCTTCCAAAGAAAAGGATGACAATACCTCTTTTTGGGTGCCACCTAAACAAGCTATAGCTCGACGGTTGATCCAGGAATGGGTGAAGAAGCAAACTTCTCAATCTCCTTAGATAAAACAATTCACCCATTTATTATTCTATGTTAAAAAAATCTGCAGGAGGCTGACGGTAACTTTATATCCAATGTCTTTTTTGCAGTGGCCCTCCATATTCTGCAGAGCATTTACTGGTAAACTATACTAGATCTCTTACCAGGTTGTCTTGAGATTTCATTGCTATAGGCTATAGAAATCACTGAGTGGGTTTGGAATGAGGAATGTTGGTATCCCCACATGGTAGTAATATGTAGCAAAAACAGACTAAGCTCCTATTGCTCCCTGGAGGCTAATATGAAATAGCAGTATTCCTGGGATTTCTTAATAAAGCTATTTATATCAGAGTGGGCAAATCTGTGCCTTGAATTGTTTACTTGTGGTTCCTGGAACTTCCCTGGCTGTGCCACCAATTTGGGGCAGTGGGGATGGTGTCATAATTACTTGACTACCAGGAAGCTGTGTATGACCAGTTTTGTCCTTACTGGGATTCATCAGGTACACAGAGCCATTATAGTTAGTATAAATCTTACATTGGTTGACACTCCTCTACTGGGAATTTAACTCATGTGCTTTGTATGGTACCCCAAGCTCTGTGAGATGTAATGGCCTTGGTCTAGGATGGCAGGAAGGGAGATACAGTATATGGACAGTCTATGAGTAGTATACGCCTTCACCTTCCTTATATGAGCTCTCATTCTAGGGAGAGAGAGATGTTGTTGTATCATACTCTCATACTGGAGGTTTCATAACTCTAGCATTCAGGTGGGGGTGGAATAGATTCATGTGTTTACAAGGTAGTATTCTCTTCCATTTGGAGGCAGCAAATACATGGAAATAGTGCTTTAAGCCCTAATACTTTAAAACCCAACTGCCACTGAAAAATCTGAGGGGAATAAAAAAAGGCAGCCCTACCCACGCACCTGATGAGGATGATATGTTGCCTCATCTGCTGTGGTCCTCATCTCTGTCCCCTTTCACCCATCTTAAATGTGACCTTCAGCCAGCAAAAGATACATAATGGAAGACTTCCATATATATCTGCAATATTAGTTTTGTGATTTAAAGTGTCATAAAGGCATGGATTTGTGCATTTGTCAATTTTAAGAGATGCCTTCTCTCTGTGAAAATAACTCTGCGATTGTTTGCTGTACATATGTGTCCTCCCACCCAAAGTTCTGCTTTCTCAATTTTCCAGTGGGAATTCATGTAAACTCAAAGGCATTCTTGCGGGGGGGGGGGGG